CCTCTCATCTTCCACGCAACCTAATCTGATTACTTCTATCTTATTAATGCTACTTGCAAAAAAATAGTGCAGAAAGCATGCTAATATCCCAGGATTAAAGTCCCTTTGAGTAGAAATAATTTTTGAGGAAGTACGAGGGTGATCCCCCACCCCCCAAAAAATCCACTACAGATTTTACCGAGAAAGGAATGTGGAAAAGAAAGGGGAGGGTCTAAGGAAGAATTGTCTATATAGTTTCTAAAACTGTTTAGAAAATTATTCTCACGTTATCCACTGTTCACTCTAATAGCAAGTAACATTTACTAGGATACTATTTAAAGTTTTTGAAATGCTACCTGTTCTTTTTCTTAAAGAATATATTTTGAGTCATTTTACATTTGGCACCGAATCTTAGAGTGACCCAAACGTGACTCTCGAAGTCCTAACTCCCCTCCTGAGTTCGTCACCTCAAGTCATACGTCGGTTGGGATGTCCCTGGTCCGAAGAAGAAACTCACCCCATCACCTCTTATCCAGTTTTCAGAAAACTGAAATAAGGAGCCATTCCACGCGGAGCTACATGGTGATGGTAAATGATTACTAAAAAAAAAAAAAAAAATGGGGAGAGAGGAGGAGACAGAGAGGCAGACACACTACTCATTTGATTTTATTTGTCAGATTCCTCTAATAAGCATCTAGAGACAGGCCCAGGAGTGGCTTTACAGTGACTATAAAGGCCAAACGAGAGAGAAAAATAACAACAAATACTCTCGCTAGTAGTGCCAATTTCCCTGCCAAAACATAAAGCAACCTAAAAGAAAAGCGTTGCCTGACCAGCAGGTGACACAGACATAAGACCCATAATAACAACGACAAAATCAAAGCCATTTATTAGCCAGTACAGTCTAGCCAGCAGGATCGACTCTAAGCAACTACGACGCAATGAAAAGGCACAAAGCATTCGACCCAGAAAAGGCTGGGTATGAAGGACACTGTCAGGGAGCCTTCGCTCCGAGTCTGACTCCTCATCAGTGAGATGGTGAACGATCCGGAAGGAAACTCAAACTTATAAACATCCCAGTTTAGCTGTGTTTTTGATCTGTTTGCAATTACAGAATGAAAAGCAAAGAATGATATTTAATTACTTAGTAGCCCTTACCTAACAGTTTATAGTCACTCTGCAAAGCTGTTTTGACACTTAAAAGGTTGACAGAAAATTATTAGTGTACCTATTACGTGACCTACATAAAAGGAAGTCACTTAATAAAGCACCGGTTTAAAACCCTATTTCTGCAACTCTTCTCATAGTTCTAAATGACTAAATTACTTAAAAGTATGCCAAGATCACTCTACCTTCAGAGTTGTTGGTTAAGTCTTGCTGGCATGAAGTACAAACCCTAACCTTAAACGGAATTTTAGGCTGCAAAAAAGAGGTGGGATTTCTTACAAAAATAACAACTTGTCTTTAAAAAAAAGTCTAAGGCAAACTTATTTTAATAGTGTAGTGTAAAAAATAAGTTTATTTTGCATTTAATAGTGTCCGCTTAACAGATAACATTCAATTCAACTGAGGAAAACTGAGTATTCTTACTTGTAATTAATTTGTCAGTATGACTATTCCCAGAGTATTTTCTTCCGTTCTTATTTTTTACATATAAACACAAACACATAATCTTTAGTATTTAAACTAATGATTTCTTTTAAAAATCCATAATCCTAGGACTTCAGCTGTGCTTCTTTGGACAAATATTTATTCAAAGGACAAAGAATTTAAATTCTTTTAAACTATTTTAAGACCTATTAAAAATCTTTGGTGCATATAAGTAAAAACTGATTAGGTTAACAGATTTCTACGCTTAATAAATTATTCAATTTACACATTAAGTGCTAACTGCTATCAGCTAAAAATTAATTTAAAACAATAAATTATGCTTATAAAATAAAAAAAATTCTGAATGAGGCTAAACTTAGTTGCAAGATTCAAAATTTAAGTACATATACAGAATTAATGGATTTTAGAGTTAATGGAACATTTGTCCCAAATACTCCAAATCGAACATTACAAAAAGTTAATCGAAGAGAGCAGGCCTCATTTCATAGTTTTGTGCCAACTTCAAAAGCGTATATACATTCAGTTTGCCCAAATCCATGAGGTTTTCGCACTTTAAGAATTTCTTATATTCTAATTTGGAAATGAGAGACAGATTTTTGTTTGTTTGTTAGTTCATCCACTGAGACTATTTCTTCATAAGAATTATACTCTCTACCTCCCAGACTGTTTAAGATTACAGGAGAAAAGTCAGTGCCTGGTACCGTACGGTCAGCATTCATTAATGCTACGTTTCTTTCCCTCCTGAGTAGCTCTGCCACTTATAGATGATGTAAGCTTAACTGAGTCCTTCACCTTCACCTCGACTCTTAGACTCTAAAATGGGAATACAGAATGTCCTTTCTAAGTCGGAGCTGGTTATGAGGTCTAAGGGAGATAACTGTGAAAGCATTTTATACAACGGTAAACCGCTGTTCAAGTTTAAGTTATCTACAATACCTAAATACATTTATATTTCACTTTGTTGAAGAGATGTATTCCAGAAAAGCTCTATACTGTAAACCAACTCCTCCGAATCGAATCATATATTTAAAGCATTAGGAGATTATTAACAGAACGCTCAAGTAAATACCATCGAAATACACACTATTCTTTTCAATGTGAAAATGTAACATCCTGTTTCCGCTACCAAACAAATCATAACACATCACACACATACAGTGTACACCATCTGCCTTTTTATAAGTCCAAACTTCTCCACGTTGGCTTATATGTCAGGCAGGGTACATTTTTAGGTATGATTTCTTTTCATAATAGGACTTTTTTTTAGTTAAAACTTTTGTGGTTCTTTATGATAAAAATCATAAAGGTGTCTTTCTGAAAGTCAACGTGAGAGATGAGCAGACTAATAGTACCTCATAGAGTCAAGTTCGATCATGGAAGTACCCCAGATATAACATTTCCACATAAAAGAACGCTTTTAAGAGAAGAACACGTTAATTGTATCCACTGATCCTAGGATGATCATAACCGATCTTAATAAAAGAGGCAAAACGCAGGTTGGTTTTGTTATTTATAAGAGCTACTTTGGCTAAGTGCCTTGATACTCAACACTTTTTTCTTTTCCTTTGTTTCTAGCAGTATGGTGACCGTTCCATAAAGTACCTTCATTTCTTAAGTGCTTTGGCAAACGTGCTTCTCCATTATCAAGTGGTTCCATGGGATTCGTTACAACTTCGTTATTTTATTTGTGATTTTTCTTTTTTTTTTCACAAGGGCTGGGCCAGACTTTACAGTTTACACAAAAAAAGTGCTTAAAGCAATTAGGAGTGTAAACAAAACCGAGAGAGAAAACTCTTAAGACTGCTGTTTCCCAGTAGTTTACATACAAAGGACGCGCTAAGAAAAATCCACCCTGCCTATTCTAACCCTTCGAGCAGCCGCGCTAGGAAACCTCGTCCCAGTTTAAACTGACTGGAAGACATGGAAAGTGCTTATCTTTCAAGGTGTTTTATAATTACACGTGTCACTTGACGGACTTTTTCCTCCATTTGAATCAGCGAGGTTTTGCCGTCACTGCTATTTCCTCTCACCAAGTGCTCAACTTTTGTCTCATACAAAAATAAAAATCAAGGACCATGACAGACATTAGTCTTATGTGAGAAGCAGAAATAAAGATCTGGGTTACCTGTAAATCTGTTTACAAGTAGTGGTTCCCTTTACTTAGAGTAAACAACATGGAGTTTAGTGAAATGCAAGTTTTCTCATTTGTTTGGCACATTTTCTAGCAATTATGTGTGAAACATCTAAGTTCTGTTTCCTAGAGTTGCCGTTAGTTAGCCGAGGTCAACGAGACCAGAAGTACCTTCTTAATTAGCATTCATGGCTCGTCATCACCGCCCCTCCCTTGGTGAGATGAAGGTATGTGCTGTGACCTGTTGTTTGTTAATATTTCTGAACTAAATGGTGACATACAAAAGGTGAACTTACCTTGGAACATAATCAACTGTCGCATTTTGCTTTTAACACATTTCCAACCTGTATAATTTAATGCGCAGACCTACGTTTGCATTTCTTATTCATAATAATTAAAGCATAGGCAAAAACCAATGGTTCGGGTAACTATTTCAAGTCTACGTTTCATGGAGCGAGCTCATCTCACGTAAGTTAGCTTTCTGGCTTTGAGTTTGTCAAGACTGGAGGATGACGACCACCTGAAAATTATGGCCAGGTGAAGGAACAACACAGAAACGTCCAAGACTTTCTTAAAAACTCCAATTCCTAATTACAATTTTGAAACATCGGGAAGAAATCAGAATGAAGCTTATGTTCGGGATAAGGAACGGTTGCAACTATCGGCGCATGCTCAGAAGTTCTTTCTTCACGGCCGCATGGTCCTTGACCTTGTTAGGAAGATGGGGAAGGGAGCACAGAGGAATGAGGCCAAAGAACAGAATTTCCACTGATGATTAAAAAATAAAACCCATGATGGCAACAACTAGTAACTTCGAAAAGTCTGAGATTAAAAATTAAAAATTAGCGCTAAATCATCTTTTTGAAATCGCAAATGCGTTCACTTCCCGTGTTATACCTCGACGTGTGTCCAAATATTCGTATGTTCGGTAAACAGAGAGACGTGTTTTTCTTGATGTGAGACATCTGAGGACTCGAGGAACCAGAGGAAGTGGCCAGAACAGCAGCCCCTCCAGCGACGGAGCGCGCTGAGCG